CCGGCACGTCGACGGTGACGTCCACGACGACCACGGCGGCCATGGAGGTGGCGGCGCCCAGCGAACTGGCCCGGCGAACGATCAGGCGGGCCAAGCGCAGGTCCGACGGCGCCAAGCCCGCTGCTGCCGCCACTTCGATGGCCATCGAAAACGCGGCCTAATGCTGCGAAGCCATTACTACACACCTATATATGCCCACATGCATTATTACCTCACATGCATTATTACCTCACACTCCCAACATCTCATGCTGGCAAAAATGTAAGGAATACGCGTGCGGCTCCGGAATGTTCTGACTCGTTTGCCCCAAGGCCAAGAATATTGCACACAAGATGAAGAGGGAGGAGTACCGGCAGTGTGGCTTGGGTGCGGTGGCGCTTACGGCGCTCGTCCTTCTGGTTATATTTCCGGCGGATGCGTCATCTTCGTCACTGTTCTTCGGAGTCGAGTTCGCCTACTCTGTCCACGTTCGCTCTGCCTCCTCCCCCAACGTACTTACTACCCGCCCTCTTTCTCAAGCTCCCCCCTTTGGTGTTCTTTTCTGGTCGTTTTCGTTCTTGATTTATTTATTGAATTTATTTTTTATTCGCTAAGCTCATACCGCATTGCCCAGTTGTCGTTCGACAGCTTCACGGCGGTGAGCGCAAAGGAGCAAAAGATGAAGACCGTCACCGCCGAGTCGGGTTCCGGCGATGTGTTGTGGAACGCACAGGTCTACGACTGCACCACCAAGCGAGGTTCGTCCCAAACCGTACATTGAATGAACAAGACTGATTGTGGTGGCGTGATTCGATCAGCGTATGCGTGGACGGCATTCACCAACAACACCTTGGGACGCTGTGCGACGGCGGACATCGCGTCCATTTGCCCCATCGCGACCGGACCCACATTCTGGGGTACATGACGCACACACAGCACACGCGACACTCAGACGCACGCACACACGCACAGAATAATTACAACAACGGCAACGTGCAGGTTCGTTTGCGTTCCTCCAGAACACGTCGCTGTTAGAGTTCGATGACGTGCAGCAATGGCGCTGGCAGGGACCCTACACCTGGCAGAAGGGCGACTTTTACACTCGCACCGTCGTGGTACATCGCTCTGGGCCACTTATATATTGGGTCCCCATATATGACCTGGTTGTGGTCACCAATCACAACCATGAGTATCAAAACTGATCACTGTGTTCTTTTTTGTGGTTTGGTCTGATCACACTCAGGGCGGACGCATTGAACCGGTGGCCATCGCGGCGATGGCGACTTCGATTGGCGCGAGTGGCAAGGCGGCGCCGAGCACGACTACCTGGAACTACTACACGAGCTTCACGAACGAGCTGCCCTTCGACGCTTTCGCAATCCCCGCCGCGTGCTTCGCGTCTTCGCCGTTGCCCACCGCTGCCGGCCGGCTTCGGGCTCTCCCCTCGTCATTCTTGCTTGCTCGCCCGTCTTTTGTCTAAGACGTGCATTCTTGAGTGGCGCCACATCCCTAAACGTTTCAACAAGATATTTATTGCGGGCTTTTCTCATCAACATGCCTGCACATGAGGGCATAGTCCAAGCAACATCCAGGTTTAGGATTTGATTGGCAACATCTCTCCGAATGCAGAGCATTGTCGTAACTATTTACCTTCGGACGGAGCTTTGGTGATTGGTTACAAGGTTGGCCGGCCGCCACAAAAGTTGGGTGAACAAGAAGGCTTGTCATTGCCTCGTCTACCCCCTAACCTGCCCCATCTCACCGCTCAACATGTTGAGGCCTACTCTTGCACTCGCTCTGCTCTACCTCGCATGTCTGGCTGTGGCCATGGTATGCCCATCCTTAAGCACTCCCAGGCCCACAGTTCTGTTAATCTGCATCTTCCACATCCTTCAGGGCTACTCCTCCACTCTCTACAGTTCGAAAGACTGCTCTGGAACGCCTTTGATGACGATCACCTATGAGGAGGAACGCTGCTACCAGAGCTTCAACATCAACAGCACCGTCTGCCAAAGATTCTTTGACTGCGCCGGTAACGGAAGGATTGACCAGGCCGTCCTCTACGGGAGATGCGCTCAGTACCTGCTCCCTCGCAACGCATCGCTCCTGGTGCAATGTACGGCCAACCCCCGCTACCTTTTTTGTTTTTCGTTTCGTTTTGCTTCTTTCTATTCACCTCTACCACCCGCCCTCAGCCGATGGAGTCGTTCGCTCGTACCTCTCGAGCCCGGATTGCACCAAGGGCTTCATCCCCTTCACACCGCCCAAAACCAACTGCGAAGTGAGGAAGGCGTCGGCGTCCTGCAGCGAGCTTTATGGGAGCGCCTCGTCCACCACTTCGGCCGGCTCCGCGTCCCCCGCCAGCGCACTTCACTTCTGGCTGCGCCAGCTTCTCTCTCTCTTGTGATGATCTTTATTTTCGTTGTTTGAAGTATGGAATAAATAGAAGAGCTTTTAACGAGGCCAAGACGTGTATCTTCTTAGTCGATGTGAAGAGTGCGGTCAGCGTAGCCGTGGGCAGCCTTGTGCTTCTCGAAGAGCGCCGAGAGCGCAGCCACGTAGCGTTCGTGCAAAGCGTCCACTGCCTCCGCGCTCGGGTTGTCCGTCTGTGTCGGTGGGTCGTTGGTGAGCTCCCCCCCCCTCTCACAGTAGCTCATGCTTTTAATTGTGCACAGCTGCGTACCTTGGTCACGGGTATTATGGGCTCGCCCACTACGGCCGTGAGCGGCACGGCGTAGGGAGCCGCGAGGAATCTGCGCCGCGGGCGATACAGGCAACCACGTCAGCAAGAGAGGCGCTCGAGAGATGCATTATTGGAACAGACACGCGTACCGGCCCATGAAGAGCACGACGGCCACCCGGAACCGCTTCGACACCCACATGCGCCATCGCATGCCCCACGAGTAGGTCTACAATATAGACCGAGAGGTAATGACGTCAGCAAAAGGGGTTTTTTTTTTGATTGGGAGGTTTGTGAGCGTAGGTACCTTGTAGAGGGAGGTCTCACCAAATACGTAGATGGGCACGAGGTGGGCGCCCTCTTCCATGGCGAGCCGAACAAAGCCCTTACGCGACTTCAGATGAATGTTTTCCTTGCCGTACTCGGTCCTGATCTGCTCGGCCTCGCCTACACCACCATCACCATCATCATCATCCACAGAGCAACACTCATTGACAACTCATCTGCGCGATCAATTGTATGGCAACCGTACCACCGGGGTACACAAGCACGGACAAGTGGTGGCGAAGCACGTTGGCGGCCACCGGCTTCGAGGCGTCGACACACGACGTCCACAGCCACAAGTCGCGAATGAACGGAATCTGAAGGAAACAAGAAGAGAAATGTCAGTCCACTGGGAACCGGCATACGCCCGGGCATTCCTCAGAGCACCTTGAATGCGGAGGAGGCCACCAAGTCGCGGGTCTCGATGCCCGGGAACTGTTTGTTCCATCTACGTTGTAGTTTGTAGTTTGTTGTTTGTTGTTGTTAGGGGTCAAGCGAATGATAACGGGCGACAGGCGTTTGGTGTACGCGCGTACCGATCCTGCTTGTTGAAGCAGAAGATGGCGCGATTGAGTGCCAACGTCCCGTGTGGATGAACCGCAAGCACATATCTGATTGGTTGGTTGCGTGTTAACAAGCCACCACTATTGACTTTTTCGAATCGTGATCGATTGCAAGGAGAACGAGCAGTACACATTGGACGGGTCAAGCTCGGCAGTCTTGACGACGCTGCACGGGAAGTAGTCGAACAGGTACCTGAACACCGCGTGGTCATGGAACCAACGCCAGGGCTTGCCTGCGAGGGAGCAAAAGAAATTGAATAATTTGTGATTATTTTGTCTTAAATTCGGTAATTAATAGTAAGCCTAAAGTTCGTGGGGGGGGGCGTACCCAGCCTACGCTCGGAGCCGTCGAAGGAGAGGTAGAGATAGGCGGTGATGAGACCCACGCCGAGCCACCACCATGGGGTGAACAGGAGCCACACGGGCAGGCCCACAAGCACCAGCGGACCCACCACGTAGCACCCGTTCAGGAGTGTCAGCGCCACCGCGTCCCTCACCCACCCACGCCCCGACATATTTGCTGCGTAAAAAAAAAGAAATGTCCAGGTAAAATGCTGGAGAAAAAGAAAATCATGTCCTGATCACAGAATTTGCCCTGGCTTCCTTGAAGTGGACCTCCTCAAATACTCGCATGTGGTGCCCTGTCAAGTCATTCCAACAAACAACCAACCAGTACCACTTCCAACAGCAAACAGAAGAATGTCGATCGTGTCCGGAACCGGAGCTGTCCATCTCACCGACGACGTGCGCTCGGCTGTCGTCGCCGTCAGCAAGCGCTACAACTTCACCACCACCTCCGCCAGCGACAACTCGTCGCTCTTCGTGCCCTTCTGCACCCTCAAGTTCGTCGACGGCAAGCCCTGCCTCACCATCGACACCGTCTCTGCCACCACGCCAGTCTCTTCTTCATCATCGGACTCCGGCAGCGAGGTGGCGGCGGCGACGTGGGAGAGCCTGGTGGCGAGCCTGCCGCGCGACCAGTGCCGCATGGCCGTGGCGCAGGTGCCGTGGCGCGCCCACGCCGATGGCGTCGTGCGGTCGCGCCTGGTGTTCATCCTGTGGGCGCCCGAGGCCACGTCGACCAAGGAGCGCATGG